CTCGAGCACCGTGGTAGCGCCATTATAAACGATAACGAGCGACCACTACCGACGGTTCTTCTCGATATAATTTTCTTTTTTTTCTTTTTTTTTTTCTTTTTTTTTCTTGTTTTCTTTTTTTCTGTTTTTTCTTTCCCTTTTCCTCTTTTTCTTTTTTCCTCTTTTTTCTTTTTTGTTTTTTTTTCTTTTTTTTCATTGAAAATTAAAATTGAAAAGGAAGGAAGGTAAAGAAAGGAAAAAAGAAAAGAAAAAAGATAAAGAGAGAGCGAGAGAGAAGGGGAAGAGGGGGGAGAGAGGGAGAGAGAGAAAAGAAATGAGTATGAGAATGGAATACGAAGAGGACGATGTAAGAAGTACGAAACTCTTAAACGTCCTCTCATGGGGCTCCATTTAATGTTGAAATTAAATGAATTTTTTCAAACGAAAAAATGTACTCCGTACAAATCGTGACGTATAAAATATTGACGAGATAATTGTGAATATCTATATCTTATGATCTTAAATCATAAATTATATATATATATATATATATATATATATATATATATATATATATGTAATAAAAAAGATTATTATTATTATTATTTAATTTATTATATTATTATTAAGATTATTTTTATTGCAATTATTGATAGATATAAAAAGTTTTTCGATAATTTTGTCATATGTTGTTTTTTTTTTTCTTTATTTTTTTTCAATTTTTTTTTTTTTTTTATTACAGTACATATTACATTTTTATTCATTGACTTCTACTATTTTCATTATACTTTTTATGATACTTAGAATACGCATATGTGTACGTGTACGTGTATATATGTTTAACGTATTGAGATGAAAAGAAATTTTTAATTCCTATGAACTATGACGAATATCATAATCGACACTAATACATTACGTTAATACTTCTTATTAATTACAATTGTTTATTGAATTTATAAAATATACATATGTTTATACATATACATTAATATTTTTAAGATTGAGGATATTTTGAATTGCGATATCTTTAATAAAAATGATAATTGATAATAATATAATAATTTCTTTTACAATTACTTCCTCTTTTTTTTTGTTTTTTAATGTATCTTATTTATTGCTATTCTTCTTTTTCTTCTTCTTCTTCTTCTTCTTCTTTTTCTTTTTATTATTATTATTATTATTATTATCACCACCCCCGCGTCTCTCTCGTTTTCTTTTCTCATTCTCTAATGGATTACGGGCTAGGCCATTTTTCACTCAGAATGGATTTTCATAAGGTCCCGACATTCTCTCTCTTTCTCTCTCTCTCTCTCTTTTGAGAGAAAAGAGAAGGCTCCATGTCTCTCGACTCCGCCAAAATGTTTGTAAATAGATGTAAAGTCTGGGAGGGGCCGAGAGTGCAACCCGCTGCGCGAACAAGGCACCCCATCGTGCACCACAGCCGGTATATCTCTCTGGCCCTTCACCATTCTTTCCTCTCTTTATACCGCGTCCTCTTTCGGCCCTTTTATACCTTCTCTCTCTCTCTCTCTCTCTCTCTCTTTCTCTCTATCTCTATCTCGTTCTTCGTTTCTTCTTCGTCGACTTTCTTCTTCTTCCTCCTCCTTCTCCTCATTCCTCTCTCCTTTCGATCCACCTTATCGTATTCTCCTCTTTCCATCCGTTCCTACCATTCGTTCCCACCATCGCATCAAAATGTACGATGTGATTTCGCACGAGCTCACTCCTTACGTCATTTCCTTTAAATCAAAATCTTGAAAACTTTAACGCGATTACGTGTCTATATGTGACTTTACGTTATTAAGTTTCTACAAAAAAAAAAAAAAAAAAAAAAAGAAAAAAGAAGAAAAAAAAAACAAAAAGAAATGAAAAGAAAAGAAAAATAAAGATTCGAAATATTTAATCCTCTATAAACGTCATCCATCCTTGAAATCATACAATTATATATATATATATATATATATATATATATATATATATATCTTTTATCTAATTTTGTATTCTCTCGTTTCTGACAAACATTCAAACTTTTTATCATTTTATATAATTTTAAAGTCACATACTTATATGCCTATCTCTCTCTCTCTCTCTCTCTCTCTCTCTCTCTCTCTCTCTCACACTGAAAAATAAAAGAAAAAAATTATAAACTCCGACAATGTTATTCATGATTGACCCTGTACATAATATGAAAAGAAATTCTCAAATTGAATTTGATTTTGTCCCTACCGATCGAATTGCAAGAGAATTTGAATTAAGGGCTCGGGAAAAGGGGTGAATGTAGAAACAGAAAGAAGACAGACAGACAGAGAGGGAGAGAGAAAGAGAGAGAAAAAAAGTAGGAAGGGAAAAAGGAAAGAAAGAGGAGGGGATAGAGAGAGAGTATGAGACAGAAAGAGAGAGAGAGACAGAGAGAGACAGAGAGGGAAAGAAAAAGAGGTAGAGAAAGAGGAAGGAGGAAGAAACTGGTCGCTACTTCGCGATACAATGCAGGAAAGACCCGTTCGATATCGCGAACGAGATGGGGTTGACAATGTCCACGAATTTGCGGCTCCACGCCGGCAATTAGCTTCTATTGACTGCGTCGAGGAAGAAAAGGGGGGACCGGTCGCGGCAACCTTTCCATTTTCGAATCCTCACTGGTGAAAATCCAAAGTGTCTGTTAAGAAGTAAGCAAAGCCCTTCTTACTTACATGTACTTACATATATATATATATATATATATATATATATACGAACGTATGTACGTATGTATATATATATGTGTTTGTATGTGTGTACATGTGTGTGTGTGTGTGTATGTGTGTGTGCATGCGAGTGCATAAAAATCGCACGCCTATCGGCTGTCGGATGAATTTCGATCAAGCTTAACGTGAAAGAAACCACTCGGTCTGAAAATACGAAAGAAATTTCACCGAACGTATCGTTATAGTATTTACGTTTACAGACATTTAATGAAATAGAAAAGAACGTTTAAAAAGTCTTTAGAATCTGACAAAAGAGAACCTCTCGTTCGTTCATTCGTTCGACGCGTTCATTCGTTTCTGTTCAATGTAAACCATCTTTTACATATACATACATTAAAGCCAATGGATAATCTTATGGTTTCCCTTCTAACACCTTCATATATATATATACTTATGTTTTTCTTCTTTGGGATACTTTATAATCTTCACGTTTTTATAATAACGTGTCCTGTTCATTCATTCCAAACTATGGATTTTTTTCCAATGGAAAAACTTGGCTTCTATCTTTTGTTATTATTTTTTTTTTATCCTCTCTACGTTTATCATTATTCTTCTAAAAATAAATTCAATTCTAACAATAATCTATCGTCAATTAATGATCGAGTTTAAACGATCGAATTTACGATATGGAGGAATGAGAATTCGTTTTTATTTTTTTTCTTTTTACTCTTTTGATAAAAGAAAGAAAAGAAAAAGAAAAAGGAAAAGAAAAGAAAAGAAAAAAGAAAAGGAAAGGAAGGAAGAAAAAAAGAAATAAAAGAAGGAGAGAGAGAGAGAGAGAAGGAAAAATATAAAAATGAGAAAATAAGAAGCCGCTTTTCCTTCTTAAAAAAAGGTATAGAAGTTAAAGAGCAGGTAGAAGTCAGAATTTTCTTCGAGTTTCTTTCCTTAAGAGCTTACGAGAAGCAAGAGGATCGGCGTGACCGAATAATCCTCAACACGACGGCCGTATTTATACTCCTGTTTGCCCCTTGATTCGCTATGGGGCTCGGTAGGTCCTTAAAGTCCCTTTGAGAAATCCCGTTCCGTTCTCGTGTCCGGTCAAAACATGCATTCGTTTTCCGCGTCTTGACTCTCGCAGGACCCTTTTTCTTCTTCTTATTCTTTATCATTATCTTCGTATCGCCTTTCCAATTATTTCGACCTGACACACAATTCAAATTGTATTCGCGATATATATATATATATATATATGTCCTTTTTCCCGTGTGCAACTACGTTAAATATTCGAACGTCATTATTCCACGAACTTTTTTCTCCCATTTCTGTATTGCCCAAAGAAAAATCATATTAAGCGGAACTTTTTTTTTACGACAATAACGACAATAATGACAAACCAAAAAAAAAAAGAAAGAAAGAAAGAAGAAAGAAAAAAATCGACAAAAAAGGAATAGCATGGTTAACGTATGTACAAAGGACATAGAGAAAAGTTATTTTTGCGAGAATAGACTTCTTTCCGATCTTTTTCAAAAGGATTCGAAATAACTGATTTTCCATGGTCTATCCCTTTTTTTTTTCTTTTTTTCTTTTTTTTTTCTTTCTTTTTTTTTTTGAAAACTTAAGTTATATTACTATGATTTATATTCATTGATGTGTATATTCGAATGACGAATGTTTATTGTATACGTATACATATATATATATATATGTGTGTGTGTGTGTGTGTATGTGTGTTTATAATATTAACATTATATAAATATTAAGTATTTATATATTTTTGATATAATATAAATCGAATATATATAGTACTATATTAGATTTTTTGTCTATTAAATTTTGTATTTATTATTTATTACTATATATATATATATATATATATATATATATAAAATAAAATAAAAATATAAATTAAATATAATACCTAATAATGACGATGTTATTTAAATATTGTCTATTCTTTTGCTTTTTCTAATTTTCCACTTCGAATATCTAAGAAATTCAAGATAATAAAAACAAATCTGAAGAAAAAGAAAGAAGAAAAAAAATTGTGAGGCAAATTATCGTCAAATTGTTTCTTGAAAAATTAATAAAAGAATTCTTTAATAATTCTTAATAATTTAATTCTCTTAAATGTAACATTGTCGTCAAACGACGTCATCTCGAAGAAGATAATTGAAAAGAAATTTTCCAACACTTTTTTCGAAATTATAAGAAATAAAAAGAAAAAAAAAGAAAAAGAGAAGACAAAAAAAAAAAAGAAAAAAGAAAAAGGAACACTTTACGATTTAATCTAAAATTTAATTAGCAACGTTTAATCAAATATTTTCAATGTTACAGAGGTGCAAGGAGAAATTGAACACCCTAGCAATCTCGGTAATGAACCAATGGCCCGGAGTGAAGCTGAGAGTAACAGAGGGCTGGGACGAGGAGGGAAAACATGCAACCGATTCTCTTCATTACGAAGGACGAGCCGTTGACGTGACGACGAGTGATCGCGATCGATCGAAGTACGGAATGTTGGCGAGACTCGCAGTCGAAGCTGGTTTTGATTGGGTTTATTACGAGTCCAGATCCCATATACATTGTTCCGTTAAATCTGGTTGGTATTTCATTTGATAAAAGAATTTTTTCATGCGCTTAAAAAAAGAACACACGTACATCACGATGTATTCAGTTAAGCGGATCCTCGAACGCCATTTTGTATTTTTTCTTTTTGTTTTTTTTTTTCTTTTCCTAAAGAGTCGATCAAAATATCAAATTATCTTCTAATGAAACGATGACGATTAAAATCACGTTATGAAAGATTTGAAAAAGAGAAAAATTTCATTTCGAAAATTATTTTTGTTTTAATGTAATGTATATATATATATATATATATATTTTTTTTTATAAAACATTTGAAATTATTTTCTTAATATATGGTCAAATTCGCTTTTAAAAAACGATGAGAATTAAAATTTCGTTAAAAAATTTCAAGAAAATAAAGTGAAATCTATATATATATATTAATTATTATTTGCTTATTTATTTATATATATAAATTATATAAATTATTTTGTTAATATACGGTCAAATTTTTTTTTCAAAAACGATGAGAATTAAAATTTCGTTAAAAAATTTCAAGAAAATAAAGTGAAATCTATATATATAAATTAATTATTATTTGCTTATTTATTTATATATATAAATTATATAAATTATTTTGTTAATATACGGTCAAATTTTTTTTTCAAAAACGATGAGAATTAAAATTTCGTTAAAAAATTTCAAGAAAATAGAGGGAAATCTATATATATATATATTAATTATTATTTGTTTATTTATATATATACATTATTATTAGATTACTTTATTATTTACTTACATTATTACTTGCGAATATACAGTAAGCGCCGCTATTCGTCAGAAATACGAAACATTTTCTTTCTTATCGACTTGCTCGGGTATTGCAGAGTTTGATCGTGACTCGGCAAAATGATTTTAATTTTCATCCAGATCCCATTTTATTAGATCCCTTAAGGATTAAATATCTTATGCATTATCATATACGATAATTAACTTTTTTTTAAAAAAAAAAAAAAAAAAGGACAGAAGAAAAGAAAAAAAAGGAAGGAAACAAATAAATAAATAAATAAATAAATAAATTTTCTTTCCTCATCGTTCCTCCATTTGTCTTTTGTTAAACGACCGTACGATTGATTTTTTTATTTGATATTTTAATTGACGAAAAAAGAAACTTTGATAGATCTTTGATATGTTCCTGCCAAAGATTTGAACGATCGATTCTCATTTCTCCCTCTCTCACCCTCTCTCTCACCCTCTCTCTCACCCTCTCTCTTTCTCTCTCTCTCTCTCACACCCTCTCTTTCTTTTTCTTTTTTCTTTGGCCAATAATGCTCAAGTCGTTCGTGTCACACGTAAAAGTTTCGTATTACGAAATAAATACCGATAAATCGGGCACCGTGCCTGTCCATTCGAATTAAAAGATCGAGCGTAAAAGTAGGCGCGAAATCGATACCGGTCGATGGATCGCGTCCTCGAGGGTCGCTTGAGAAAGACAGAGGGAAAGAAAGAGGGAGGAAAAGAGAGAGAGAGAGAGAGAGAGAGAGAGAGAATAAAAGAAAAGAAAAAAAAAAAAGGAAGGAAGGTGGCAGGTTCGAAACGTGACATATTTTCTGATCTGGGCTCTCTCCTCCCCACCCTTTTTGTTTTAACGCATACGTATATATATATATATATATACAAATCTTTTTTTCATCATGATCAAAGGACAAGATCGATACTATTGAGATCGATATCGATTCACCTTTATTAGCATGACTCGAAGGTAGAAAAGAAAAAAAAAAGAAAAAAAAAAAAAAGAAAATCCTCGATTTTCTGATCTGTCGGAGATCTTCTTCCTTTTCTTTTTTTTTTGTTCCTTTTTCTCTCTCTCTCTCTCTCTCTTTCGTCGTCTTTAAATTTCCTATATATAATTTTCGACGTTCTTTTTCTGTTTCCCTTTTTCTTTTTCTTCTTCTTTCTTCCGTATAGATCCGATTCTCCGATTGGAATTCGTTAGAAGATATCGATTTTCGTGACGTAGGGTGGGGAGATTACCAGAGATTTCCCACGGTAACAACCGGTCTAAGGATGTTGCTTGTTATGCTCGTATGCGTCACCGACCTTCCTGATCGGTATTCCAGGTCCAACGTGTACGATGGATCCGATTACCTCCTTCGAAAAATCGATCCTACGTAGAAAGACTTAAAGCCCCGCGAGATCGCGGTTAATCGAGGCACAAGTCCGCGCGAAAAAAAAAAAAATTGTGCCAACGTCCGAGAATGAACCGAGACCGATCCACTCTTTTCGGATCAATTTTCTTTTTTCTTTTTTTTTTTCTTTTTTTCTTTTTTTTTTTTTCTTCTTTTTTTTTTTTTTTTTTTTTTTTAAGTAAGAATTACTCGAGATTCTCCGACAGAAGAGAATACGCTGATCTACGAACATGAGATTTAGTTTAGAAGACAAAGTACAAAGTTTCGTAATCAAAGTTCAAAGTAAAAATGTAAAGTACATCGTCAACGGCAAATAATATTAAACGTATTGTCGATTGTAAATTCATTCAATCGATAATATTAAAAAATTTTTAATCTCTATTTAAATTCTTATCAACAATCGAGAAAAGATATTCCTTCGAGATCGTTCAATTGCGAGATCGAAATTTTGAAATAGTCTTTATTTTAAATAACAAATTTAAATAATCTTTATTTCGATCTCTTTCGTATAAATACGATCAAAGAAAGAGAGAGAGAGAGAGAGAGAGAGAGACAGAAAAGAATAAACCCGCAGAGAACAAAAACGAAAAGAAAAAAAAAGATTTGAATTTATAAGGATTGAATTTATAAGGACCACGGTCAGATCTTTTTGTTTCTTTTTTACTCTCCTTTTGTTTTCTTTTTTCTTTTTTTTTTTATAGAATCATCATCAGCAGGCAAGTCGGGTGGCTGTTTCCCTGGGAAAAGTTACGTCAGAACGGAGAACGGTCGACGGAAGAGGGTGGACGAGATCGAATTAGGCGAACGCATAGCTGCCATGAATTCTCAGGGCGAATTGATCTACAGCGAGGTGATAGCTTTCTTGGATAGGTCGCCAACGGAGAGACGGCAATTTGTTAGACTTATTACGGAATCTGGACGAGTGTTGACCTTGACCCCAGCACATTTGGTACCGATTAAGGATAAATCGACGATATTTGCTGCGAGGGTACGAATAGGGGATAAAATTCTTGTGGCCGAGAAGAAAGAGGATCCTACGTTTTCCATAATGGATAATATATTGAACAATGAAGTGTATTCGCGTGATCAACGTCTTCGTTGGGATCGAGTGATCGAAACGAGATTGATCCTTGAGAAGGGTGTTTTTGCGCCGCTTACAATGGAAGGAACATTATTGGTCGACGACGTCATAGCATCTTGTTATGCCGTAATTGATAGTCAAGCTTTGGCACATTATTCCTTTTATCCTTTGCGAATTTGGAAGAATTTAGAATCGTTCTTCGTTCGAAGATCATATTCGTTTAAAGATACGATCGACGTAGATCGGCCAATTATCAGGCAAGAAAGGACTAATAACGAGACAATGAATATCGATCGTAATGTAAAAGACGAGAAGTACAACGGAGTACATTGGTACGCATCGTTTTTATATAATTTTGCCTCTTCTTTTTTACCACGTAACATGCTTTACAATTAATTATGACAATTGTTCAACATGTCGAAGGATAGAAGAGGAAAAACAAATAAAAGGTTGTCCCTTTTTTCTCTTATAAGATTGTTAATCCTTTGATTGAAATCAACAATACTTTGCTTTATTATCTCTCTCCTCTCGTGTGTTTTTCCAAGGACACGCTTATATCTAATCTCACTCTCTCTCTCTCTCCCTTTCTCTCTCTATATATATAGAGAGAGAGAAAAGGAGAGAGAGAGAGAGAGAGAGAGAGAGAGATAGATAGAGAGATAGAGAGAGAGAGAGAGAGAGAGAGAGAGAGAGAGAAAGACTATGTCTTTTATCTTGTTGGATAGTGTTTGAATTGGACAGTGATATTTCTATCCGGTTTAACGAGAGTGACGTAAAGTATATTAAACTTTTAGAAAAATAATAAAAAGAACGCGAAAGCTTTAGAAAGATATCAAAGCTTTTTCATCGTCTAACGTTCTAATGTATGTGTATGTATCATACGAGTATATAATATAAATATCGTTCCGTGCTATTTCATTTAAGCGAGTATACATAAAAGTGTATGCGTCTATGTGTGTTGTGTGAATGAATGAATGAATGAATGAATGAATGAATGAACGAGTGCATTTATGTATATATGTGTATAACGTGTACGAATGTGTATATGTAAAACGAAAGAAGAAGATTAGGAAAAATATGATGAAAAAGATGAAAAGGACGAAGAAAGGAACGACACTTTTTTTTTTTTTTTTTTTTTTTTTTAATGTCGAGACGATTTTTTTTTCCTTATTTTGTTCGAGATTTTGTTCTTTTTCCTTATTTCTCGTGGTATGGCCCTTCGCGTATGTGTGCATTCGTGCACGACTTATTGCTATGGGGAAGCAAGGAAATAAAAAGGAAAAAAGGAAAAAGAAAAAAAAAAAAAGGAGAAAATAAAAGACAAAGATACAATAACAATGAAAAATTCTGAAACAACGGAAGACATCGTTATACATATACATACGCATACAAACACACATACATATATGCATAGATACATGTGCATATTTACGGAATGGAACGTGCAAATTAAAAACACGTTATATCGCGGCGTTGTTCTAGCGCACGTGTTGCTGGTGCTTCGTCAAAAAGAGATGCGGATCGCGTGAGCTTTATTAAAATAAATATCATTTTCCTATTTTCTATGCTCGTTATCAATCGATCGTCGGACTTTTTCTCTTCGTCCTTGTATAGCGAATTGATTGTAATTCGTACAATTAGAAAAAATATCGGCGTACAATGGTATCTAATTAACCTTTTTTTTTTTTTCTAGTTTCAATATCGACACGTCCATATTTATATATATATATATTTATTTATATATATATATATATATTTATATATATATATATATCTATTTATATATATTGTATGTTTATATATATATATATATATGTAAATATATATTTATATATATTATATATTTATATATATATATATATAAATATATATCGACTATCATCTTTAAATTATCTACGAAAAAATATAAATATATATACATATATATATATATATATATTAATTTTATTATTATTATTAATATTATTATTATTATTATTATTATTATTATTATTATTATTATTATTATTATTATTATTATGTATTATTTCCAATAAATATTTTATAATTTTATTATTATTATTATTATTATTATTATTATTATTATTATTATTATTATTATTATTATTTTTATTATTACCTATTATTATTATTATTATTATTAATAATATTATTTGTGTACGTAATGAGAGAGAGATAAATTATAAACGATGTATATATAACACAATACACGCAATCGATAAATTTGAATTACACATTGCCAAAACAAACTTCATTTTGTCTGATTAATCAATCGGCCTATCCGAAAACAGTACCAAATCCAAGATCCTTTCAACTTTTACAGTCACTTTTATTTTATAACCTAAATTTTAATCTCGATACAGTTTAAATCATACTTCTATATATAAGGATTTATCATCGTATAATTGATTAGAATTAGATTAGTTAAAAGGGAGATTATCGACAAAAATGGTTCAAGAGGATACTCGTCGAATCGAAACGGAAGAAGAATATGAAATAGTAAAGAAAAAAAAAAATATATATATATATGTATATATATAAAATGATAAAAAGAAAAAAAAAACATAAAATGATAATATATATATACATATATATGTTATACAAGATAACATCGTAAAAAAGATCAAAGAGATGATTGAGATGATTTATTTATCATTTCGTTATATAGCGAAAAAACGTGACGCTTCCACAACTTCAAGAAATAGAACAGGAATTTTTCGAGTTGGTGATAAACGGAAGTATCGCTGAAGTCGAGCTTTATCTGAGAGTTCATCCGGATTTTAAAATTAATGCTACCAACTACCAAGTAACTTATCTCTCTCTCTCTCTCTCTCTCCCTCTCCCCCTTTCTCTCTTTTATTTGCTATAGATATACCTACATAAAAACATAAGATTGAGATTGGTAGATCGATTTTTCGAAACTTTCGAGATAGTTTTATCTTCATCGATCTCGAGAACATCGTCGTCGGCAAATTCATTTCAAGAAAGCAAGCCAACGACTAGAGGGAAAAGAAAAAAGAAAAAAAAAAGAAAAAAAAGAAAAAAAAAAAGAAAGAAAGAAAGAAAAAAAAAGGAATAAAAAGAATATAACGAACGTTTCGAGATATCAGGCAAAGGGACGAGAGACATCGGTTTCCCTTTGAGTAGCAACCCCTTCTTCTTCTTCTTTTTTCTCTCTTTCTCTCTTTCGATCATTTCCATGAGTGATTTACGCGAGATCCTTACGAGACACGTCGAATTATTGTAGACGAACGTTCCCTTCTCTCTCTCTCTCTCTCTCTCTCTCTCTCTCTCTGCCTATCTATCTATCTATCTTTCTCTTTCTTTGCGAAGAAGAATCGAAGAAACGGAGCGAGAATGCAAACCACAGTGGACTCTCCACTCGTTATCTTGAATCTTCACCCTCTCTGTATATACCCCATGTGGAATGTCTTCTCCCCACCACTAACCTTGTTTCTCTTTCTCTCTCTTTTTCTCTCTATCTATCTATCTATTTATCTATCTATCTTTATCTATCTCTCTCTTTTTTCATCCCGTTCGCAACGTTTTCAAAAAGTCTGCCGGCCGTCCGACTTTCGGTCAAAATACCATAGCATTTGACTCTATTGGAGAGAAAGAGATATAGAGAAAAAAGAGAAAGAGAAAGAGAAAGAGAGAGAGAGAAGGAGAGAGGAAGATGTGAACAATGTATATGTGTGAGTGTGTGTGTGTGTGTGTGTGTGTGTGTGAGAGAGAGAGAGAAGGACTAACTGCCTCCGTGTATATCTCCGGCCATATTTCAGACGGTCCTTTACAAGACAATGGTTTCAACCGAGGACCGATAAAAATTATTCAAATGACCCGCCCCGCTGTAAATTCCATCCATGGATCACCCCCTTCTCTCTCTCTCTCTCTCTCTCTCTTTCTCTTCCTCCTTTTACTCCTCTCTAACTTACTACGAGTCTTTCTTTCCTTCTTTCTTTCTTTCTTTCTTTCTTTCTTTCTTTCTTTCTTTCTCTTTCCATCTTTCTTTTCTTTTCTCTTTCTTCCTCTTCCTCTTTTTCCTCTTTATCTTCTTCTACTTCTTCTTTCCCCTACACTCCTACCCACTCCCCCCCACCCCCACCCATCAATGGCTTACATTCGCTCTCGTTTTAGAAATGGCCCTTATGCCAATCCAATGACGGGCCATTAAATGGGATCCCTCATTCAGAAAATTTTTCTCGAATGAGAGAAGACCTATATACGATGTTCTTATTTATATCTTTCATAGTTATCATTAGAAAATAATGAAAGATGATAGACGTTATTATTATCTCGGTATCATCGTACAATCTCTTTATATTTTAATTAAATGAAAGAAATTTCTGTAATCGTACGATACTATGGCCATTATTATTACGGTATCTCGATAATCTGATTTTATCGAATATATCTGGGAACAATTATCAAAAGAATATGCTGGTTACGTATTAATAATATAATTGTATTAATTGTATTAATACGTATTAATGCAATTTCCAAAAAAATTGCGAGTGCAATATTTTGGAAAAAAAAAAAAGAAGAAGAAGAGATAAGTAAAAATATAATGTGAAATTTATTATTTATAACGAAATAAGATATTTCTTATTCGTTATAGTGTTAACATAATAAATTTCATCAAAATATTTATGAAAAGTAATTATTGAGACGAATTAATCAATATGTTTTGATAATTACAAAAATATGAATAAATTAAATATTCAAAGAAATATAATTTATTTCCTATAGGTTATTTAAAAAAAAATCGTTCTCTCTCTCTCTCTTTCTCTCTCTCTCTCTCTCTTTCTCTCTCTGTCATTCTCACTCATTCTTTATAACAAATGGTATATTATTTAAACGTAATATAAACGTATGCAAAACATTGAAAATAAATATGAAAAGAAGTATGAATTCGAAAATATCCTGAATGAAATATCAGAATATAAGAGATCTTTTTATTATACGTTATGAAAAAAGAAAAAAGAAAAAAGAAGAGAGAGATAGAGAAAGAGAGAGAGAGAGAGAGAGAGAGAGAGAAAAAGTCTCCTTCCCTTTATCTCATTCTCTCTTTCTTTCGAAATGTTAGATCACATCTTTAACTTAATGAAACGAGAATCATAACGTAATCCATAGAAAATATCTAACAAGTATGAAGAAAAAAACAAATTGAAATGAAGTAATCAAAATGTATTGATAATAATGAAAATATATGAAATGAAGTATCTAAGGAAATTAAATTTATTTATTATATGCTATAAAACAAAAAAATTCTCTCTCTCTCTCTCTCTCTCTCTCTCTCTCTCTCTCTCTCTCTCTCTCTCTCTCTCTGTCTCAGTCTGTCTGTCTGTCTGTCTCTATCTCTCTTCAAAGAACGAGTATACGACTTAGGCTAAGAAATCTCAATGGGCCATAAAAAATAGTTAGGAAAATTCACACGACTGATGTTAAGCGGCAAAGATAAAAATTTTATTACTTCTAGTATAGATCGTAACGAAAAGTTTATTCAAATTTGTGACTCTCACATTTACTACTTATAGATATATATATATTATGCATAAACATACAAATATATATATATATATATACATATGCACACATATATATTCCTACATATATATCCCTATGTATACATATATATATATATATATATATATACATATACACACAAATATATCCCTATGAACAGTATGGCGATTAATCATAAGCATGCGTAGTGAGAACTAATAAAAGATGTGTAAATATTTGATTCGCGATCCCTGCAAAAAATAAGAAAACAAAAAGGGCAAGTGGCACATCTGGCACGTCGATGGTTTTGAAACTTTCGATCGTACCGAAAGAGAGAGAGAGAGAAAGAGAGAAAGTAAGAGAGAGAAAGATAGAAAAAGAGAAAGATATACACGATGATACGTAAAATATGAGAAAGAAAAAGATAAAGAAACAAAGAAAAAAAAAAGAAAAAAAGAAAAAAAGAAGAAGAAGGAAGGAAGGAAGGAAACAGTGAGATCGAGGAACCGTTTGCGGATGAGAGAGCGTATATCACAAGAGTGTGGCATTGTCGAATGGTTAGATGTTGTACACGAGTCCCCAGGGTGCAAGGAGTCGAAAAGGCACAGGATATCACAGGAATATTGTGACCGGCATAGACGTTGACAATGGCCCTGGTCCATTGTCGAGAATGACTGCCTCTGTAAACTCGCCGCAGATGGCCCGATGAACGTCGCCGTTCTATTCTTCCAACGAAAAAAAAAAAGGGAAATGGACGGTAAGAAAGAATATTGGTGGAAGAAAGATACCGAAAAGAAAAAAGGGAGAGTGAGAGAGAGAGAGAGAGAGAGAGAGAGAAAAAGAAAAAAAGAGAGAAGATGCCACTTTGAAAGTCGATCTCTCACATGGAGTATCCAAAAAGCTTACCAAGCCAGAACCAACCCAGAACTGTTTCTCTACAGTGGAAAGACATTTCAGGAGTGGATATATATCCGAGAGTTACGAAGTTAGTCGAAGAAAAATTTCTTGGTATGCCGTAAAAATGGGACGAGAAACACATTTATATATAAAGTGTGAACGTGTTAGTCTAACACTGAATGGCGCCATTCTAAGGGACTTCTTATTCCTTATTCCTTTAAAACGAACGTGTCTGTTATACTTTTGATGATTATTATGGTATATACCCATATATACATATATATATATACATATGCATGTGCATGAATGTTGGATAATTCAAAAGATTCCTATGTAATAGGGTTGAAAAAAGGAATTTTTATGCATGCATATTGTATCGATCCTATCGTTTCTATTTATCACAATTGTTTTCTTTTTCTTCTTCTTCTTCTTCTTTTTGTTTTTTCTCCTCCTATCCCCCTCCCCCGCACTATCACCACAACCATCACCCATCCATCCCATTTTTTCTTTTTCATTTCTTTTTTTTTTTCTCTTCGTTAACTTCGCTAACACAAAACTGACTATGATAGATAAGTAGTTAGTTACATATAAAGCTTCCTTTTATTTTTCCTTCTTTTTAAACGTTAAATTTCTTTTTATTGTAAATTAGAAGATACATTTGAGCACAAAGTGATCGACCATTTAACACCCATTATACCAAAAGATATATCCGCACGCATAGGTACATACATAGTTACCTATCACGTTTCCATTCACGTTATCTCCGTCGCATTGGAATCACACGTTAGGATAAAAGAGTAGGGCATAAATATTAAGACAAAGTAAAGAGTGAGTGAGAGAGAGAAAGAGAGAGAGAGAGAGAGAGAGAGAAAAAAAAAGAGGGATAAAATTTATCGTTCGATGGCTGATGTTTTCACTCGTAACCCAAAAGACTTTTCCTTCTGGTAGAAATCGTTCCCGTTTCGAGCGGTGGTCTCTTTTAAGTGGTCCATAAAACATCACTCGTCTCATCCCGTCTTTCTCTTTCTCTCTCCCCCCCTCTCTCTCTCTCTCTCTCTCTTTCTCTCTCTGTCTCTGTCTCTGTCGTCTCCTCCGTTATGCGGAGTCTCTCGTAGTGTCGAAGAGAGCATGCTTGCGCCTCCTCGCCTTTGTTAAACCGAATCGGATCCGACAAATGGTTTACACGCGTCCCGCACTGGGATCCTTTCCACTTCTTCTTCTTCTTCATCTTCTTCTTCTTCTTTTCTTTCTTCTTCCTCTTCTTCTTCATCTTCTTCTTTTTCTCTTTCATACCACGCGCATTCCACGTAGGTGGCCCCTGCCATGACCGAAAGAAACACTTCGACTTTTATCTCTTTTTTCTAAAGTATTAGCGAACGAGAGAAGATACGTTGAGGCATGACAATGTTTTGGGGGAACAAAAAAAAAAAAAAAAAAAAGAAAAAAGAAAAGAAGAAAAGGAAGAAAAACAAAAAAAAATTTGGAACAAAATTAGGAAGAGGATCTTGTTAATGAATCATCTTAACAGCTTTCTGATGATCTATATAATGTGCTTTATCTTTGGATCCTTACGATCCGAGAAAGAACTGAACGAGAGACGTTGTTTTCGAAGTGGATTATTAAAATTGAAAAAAAAAAAAAAAAAGAACGAAAAATAAAAAAATATCAAATACTGTAAATATTATGAATAACGAAAGTCATATGATAATATAATCTGTCTTGAAGGTGAATTAAAATGTTTCATAAAAAATATTTTAAAGGGAGTAAAAACTAGAAGAAAGGAATTGTAAGATGTAAAGAAAAGAGAGAGAGAGAGAGAGAGAGAGAGAGAGAAAAAAAAAGAAAGAAATGAATAATGATGAAGACGAAAAAAAAAAAGAAATATATTTCTGAAACTTGATTGAGACTGTTGAAAAAAATTCTGAAGGAGGGAGGAAAAAGGAAGAAAAAAATAAGTGAATAATGTTAAAGCGCAAAGAGTGAGATGTGACAAATTTTCTTGAAATTAAATTGAATGAAAAATGAAAGTAAAAATATTGACGAATTGTCTTGAAATTTTTAACAAAATATTGAAAAGAAAAATGAATAATTTATTAAAGCTCTCTCTCTTTCTCTCTCTCTCTCTTTTTTCTCTTTTTGAAAGCTATATTTTAACGTTCAATTTCTTTTCAGGGTATTACAGCTCTACACATAGCCATTGAAGAGAGGAACGGCCCTATGGTGAAATTTCTACTTTCCCATCCAGAGATCGATCCCGGTGACGCCCATCTCTACGCAATCAGAGAAAACGAGACGAAGATAGCCGGCATGATTTTAGACAAGCTCAACGAGATATCACCGGGATTAGAATATGCCAGTGTCACTCATAGCTCTGATTTCCCGGACGAGGCTACACCCTTAGCGATCGCAGCACAGTACGGTCATTATGAGCTTATTCAATATCTGATCGAACATCGACTTCATAGGATTCAACGACCTCACCCACCTAACTGCAATTGCTTGAGCGTGTGCAAGTACGAGCACGGTAGAATCTGTATAATCTTTTCCTTTCTATTTATTTATTTATTTAATTAATCAATTAATTAATTTGTTTGTTTGTTTGTTTGTTTGTTTGTTTGATTGTTGGTTTATTTGTCTGTTCATTTATTTGTTTATTTTTGTCGTTCTCTTTTTTTTTTCTTTTTAACCCGATCACATTCTCTTAGATATTTTACGAGTGGTGATGCGTCCTTAACAGACGAGAACGTGAAATTTATGACAGCTTAACGGTGGATCGAAAACGTATATTTCTCTATCGAGCTATATCTAATCCAGCCTATATCTGTTTGACCGAGGAAGATCCAATTCTCGCTTCTTTTAATCTATCGGTCGAGCTAAAAATGGCTGCATCCTACGACAGGGAGTTCTATAACGAGTACATCCAGCTATCCGAGGTCAATCGAATCAGGTTTCGATAATGCCAACTTCATATATCGAGCCCATTCGAATTAGATTATATATATATATATAAATAAATGTTAGAATATATATACGAAGATTCATATGGATTAACGTCGTTCGATTAAAACAGAAATTATCAGAATTCGCTACGGATCTGATCGGTTGCGCCAGGAAAGCTCATGAAGTGGAGACAGTGTTGAAGAGAACGTCAGGCTTTACTAGATCTTCTAGATTCATTTATCCGCGCTTGTTAATGGCTCTTGATTACAAGCAAAAAACTTTTGTCGCTCATCCGAACGTACAAGAGGTGTGTCACGAAATAGAAAAATGAAAAAGGAAAGAAAAGGGAGGGGAAAAGAAAAGAATGAAACGTTTCATAATTTAACAGATATCTTTTCCCAATGAAAAGATATATTTCAAAATTGAATTGAACGTTATACGTGACATTGAAAATTTTACAGCTGATCGAGAACAAATGGGTGGACAATTGGTACGAATGGAGGATGAGAAAAACTTGGCTTCAATGTTTAACCGTTTTACTACGAATAATCCTATTACCTCTTATCGCCTTGATCATTCTGATCATACCGAACACGAAAATCGCTAAATTTTTTTCAAGTCCGGTTAATAAATTCCTTCACTCTGTTGCCAGCTATCTCGTTTTCCTTATCATCGTATTTCTTATATCCAATGCCGATAAGAACAAGCAACTTCGTGGGCCACCGAATACCGGTATCAAATTTCTTCTTTTTTCTTTTTTTTTTTCCTTCTTTTTTCTTCTTTTTTTTTTTTGCAACAAATGAAAAAGAAAAAAAAAAGAGAAAAAAAAAAACACGATTCGAATTAATTCAAAAAGCCATAACACAGGTACCAATGCATCGGTGCCTAATTTTTTTTCCCCTCTTTGTTTCTTTTTCCTTTTCTTTTCTTTTCTTTTTAGGATTCGAACCGATTCTAGCAATTTACGTGATATCGTATTTATGGTCGATCATACGGCTTTGCATTATGCTCGGTCCAAGAAGATTCTTCAGGGCACCTTGGAACTGGTAATTCTCTTATTTTTCTTTTCAAATTATATCACGATCAGATAGATCATTCATTTTAGGTACGAAAGCTGTATGATATTCCTGTTCCTATTGACGTTTATGTGCTGGATAGATGCTGCTATCGACGTCAGGATTAACGGGCAATGTGACTTAGAGAGAAAATATTGGCACAAATACGATCCGACATTGATAGCCGAAGGTGTTTATTGTTTGGCTACGATCATGGCCTTCTTTCGATTGATGTTTCTTTGTCAATTGAATTATCACCTCGGTCCTCTTCAACTCTCCCTTGGAAAGATGATCCATGATGTTACCAAATTCATCGTGATATTCGCCATCGTCCTTTTAGCTTTCACATCCGGTTTAACGTTCATCTATTTTCAATATATTACTTCAAGATCCATTTATAATGTCCCCCCATCCCTGATAAAATCTCATTATCTTTTAGGTCTGTCTAAGTTGTATCAGTATTACGAAGATATGGTACAAATTGATAAAAATAATATAAAGATACAACAGGTGAGTTCATTCGTTAATTTCCCATCGAGCCTGAAGACACTTTTTTGGGCCGTTTTCTGTATGAGTCCTATTGAAAGTGCTGACGTCATTATTGAAAATCTACCAAGTGATAACGATACGGAAACCATCATAAATCATCATACATTCACGGAGATTATCGGTTATATCGCATTCGCAAGTAATTTTTTAGATTTTATAAAATTACTTTAATAATTTATTCTCAAAAAGTATTTAATTAAAACGTAATTGACGTATTAATATATAAAATAAATATCGTAATAAAGGTTTTGAATTCATTTCTGTGGTCGTTGTCCTTAATATGCTAATTGCCTGTATGACCAATACCTTTACCAAGGTCACAGATAACGTCATCGTTGAATGGACCTTTGGTCGAACGGAGGTTGGCAAATTGAATCTCAACGAACTAGTCCCGTCTGTGCAATAACAAAATGTTTTCTCTCCTTATAGGTTTACATCAATTTCATGCTGATGACCACCCTACCACCACCCTTCAATATAATTCCCACTTTCGCTGGCTTTCAAACGATCGCCGAATACGTGAAGGTACTCGTCAAACCACCGCCGAACAAACGCGCCCGCTGGGACTTCATGCAGTGTTGCTATATCGTTAGTATCGTAGAATTACACGTTACACTTTATGGTAATTTCAAAATGGGATATCTTACCAAGGTCAATGCGAATGAGTACAAGGTCTACGAAAAGTGAAAGAAACAAAATAGAAAAGTAAAAGGAGAAAATGGATTCGTAGATCTTCGATTTTATATAATTGATGATAAAAGAGAAGAAGAAAAAAGAAAAAGAAAAAAAAAAGAAAAAAGAAAGAAAGAGATCAGAAAAGTGGATCTAAAAATTGGATCATTTATTTTTATTTTTTTCTTTTTTTTTTTTCTTTTTTTTCCTTTTTTTTACACACGATGTTTCTGATTCGAGATATATGGTTCGTTGAAATAATAGAAATGAAGTCGACAAATTTTAATTATTATTTAATTAAAAAAAAAATTAAAAAAAAAAAGAAAAAGGAAATAAATTCATACTTGGGATTTATTTTACTGGAAAACAAATTTCTGCATTAGTAACAATTTTTCAGATTCAAGATCTACCGGATTATTAAATGATCGAGATTAAATAAAGGAATGAAGAATTGTCAAAAAAAAAAAAAAAAAAAATGAAAGGAAAAAAAAATGACGAATAAGAATTGTTGAAAAATAAGTCCGACATTTCCGTGATCCACTTTTTTGATCTTTTTCTCTTAACAATTTATTCAGATTCAAGGTCTGACGGATTATTTAAAAAATTCGAATTAAATCAAAGAATTAATTACGAGTAAAAATTGTTAAAAAAAAAAACAAAAAAAAAATGAATAAATATTCACTTCTCTACTCCATTTATCTGATTAAATAGAAAAAAAAAAGAAAAGAAATGAAAAGTTTTCATATTCAAAATCTAATGATAATCAAAAAGTGTTACTTAAATTAAAAAATTAATCAAGTTAAATTAATTAAATTAAATTAATTATATCAAATTAATTAAATTAAAATATATATATATGTATACATACATACACAGAGAGAGAGAGAGAGAGAGAGAGAGAGAGAGAGAGAGAGGAGACACACACACGCATGCACTTAGGATTGCAAAAGAGAAAAAGAAAAAAAAAAAAAAAGGAAAAAAGAAGAAAAAATAGAAATAGATAAATGAATTATCTTATATTAAAGTCTAGTAAAGATCAAGTTTGTCTCTTTCTTTCTTTCTTCTTTTTTTTTTCTTTTTGTTTTTTTTCTTTTTTGTTTGTTTGTTTTTTCTCCTTTTTTATAATTATTTTCAGGAAACGTTAGAAGATGAAAAGGACGAAGTATTCGCCCAAGTGATGATGCAATTGGTACAACGTTATTTCCGCGAGAAGAGTAGGGAAATCGAGAAGACGAACATCGAGAAATTTAGAAGAGAATTGATAGAAGTGAGAGGACTTCTGCGAGAGGCACTTGAAGCTGCTTGAGGAAATACAAGAACTACACGAATTCGTAACAAGTTTCGTAACATGCCATTGAAGAAACACTTGAGGGCATATCTCCTTCATAGTAAGAAGCCCAATAGAACAATACTAATTAGTATAGATTCCCGTGGAAAGGAAAATATCGACGAACGAGAATTAACGTTTATTGTCAAAGGAATAATAACGACGAAGGAAAGTGTCTCTTTCATTTAAATGACCTTTTGAGAAGAAGAAAAAAAAAAAAAAACAAAAAAAAAGAGGAAGAATTAGAAGACATTTTTATAGAAAAAAAAAAAAAAAATTTCATATCTCAACCCTAACAAAATTAATTAAAAAATTTTTAACTCTTTTTTTTCTTTTTTCTTTTTTTTACTGTTTATAACGTTACTAGTAATATCGTAAGAATATTGAAATTGAAAATGATCGAACGAACGAATGATTGAGATACATTTTCCATCGTACGTATTATGATTTTTTTCGACGAATTTTCAAATGAAATTCTAAAAAGAACGATTAATTAAATAATGTATCAAATACATCGTTAAGTATCGTTATTTCTCGTTACGTTTGAGAATGAAAATCGGAGAATAATTGAAATTGAAAATGATTTATCTAAAACGCTCGTTCTCCGATGAATATTCGTTCTTCATGAATTTTTCATTGAATTTTTCAATTAAATCCACATCGAGATATATTAAACAATATTTCTAATATAAAAAAATCTCAATAAATGTCTATATATTGCGAATGAATTTTCAAAGAAAATTCAAATTGAAATAATCGTGTCTCTTCTGTGAAAAGTTAAACAATTCGTCTATGATTTTTTCAAATAAAATTCTATCAAAATCGATTAGATAATATTTCAGATATACGAAAATCTATATTTCTCTTTATACCTTTTGCGTTTAAAAAGGCAAAAAAGAAAAAGTTGATATTGAAAATAATCAAAGGAAAAAAAAATTGTCGTCTCCTTTGAAACGTAAACGATTCTTCTATAAACATTCAAATAAAAGATCCTATCAAGATCGCATTAGATCAATACGATCTATATATTATATAGATCACTAAATTGACAACAATTGTCATTAGTAAGATATTCATTGTCCCATTAAAATGTTTTCAATCAAAATACTCTTGTTTAAGAATTAATTATACGATATTTAAGAATACACGAAAGCGTCATTTTCATCATAACTACGTGAATGTATCATTGGAAAATAAAGTAATAAAACTTGCCGATCTATTTAATTACGATGTCCATTAAATAACGACTACTTTTAAAACAACTTGTAAAGAATATCGTCTGTTAGCGAAAGAAAAATTTTCCTTCAATGTTTCCCATGAATATTTTTTTTTAACGGAAACAATTTTAAAGTCACTCCTTAAGCTTTATAAAGAAGTCAAACTTCGCGCGCGTATATATATATATTATATTTATATACAGGGTGTTCAGGTACTTTCGTTTAAATAAAAAGTATTTAATATTCGATCGTCAAAAAATTACAAAAATAAAAATTGTAGAAATTTTCTTTTTGAAGTATCGCAAACAATTATTTTGCCGAATTATAGCTCGTTAAAAAAAGATCTATATAAATGAAATTTAAAGGAGATCTTATGATGATGATAAATCTTTACCGGATATATGTATTTTCGAGATTTCAAGGTGACCGTTATATTTTTATACGGAACTGTATGTTTTTATTTAGGTAGGTTTATTTAGGTCAATGAATTCACCTTAGAAAAGGGGCCATGTGCCTATCTAAATAAAAACGTACAGTTTCGTGTAAAAGAGAAAAGAGAAAAAGAAAAAAAAAGGGAGAGAGAGAGAGAGAGAGAGAGAGAAAGAAAAAAAGGGAAAAAGAAGAAAAACAAAGAATTTACCTTGAAATCTCAGGAGCAAACGTCCAGACAGAAAAGATTTGTGAACACCGTAAGATTTCTTTCCCTCCTACCGCCCCCTCCCCTACTCCCCTACCGTCCCCTTACTAAGCTCCCTAAAGAGAGTATGTTTTATTTGAAACAATTTTTTGAAAAGAGTTTATAGTTTGGAAAATAATTGCATGTGAAACTTCAAATTGGACACCCCGTATATACATATATATTTACGCACACATACACACATGAAATATTTTTACGATATAATACATATATATATATATATATATATATATATATATATATATATATATTCGAATAAATCGATTTACGGAAAGAATTCCTACTTTTGACTTTCGTCGAAGCTTATTAAATGAGCCACGCTTCGTCAAGAATCGAATAAAAATATCATTGACGGAAGGATTTTAAAATGGAAGGAAAAAAAAAGGAAAAAAAAAAGAAAAAAAGAGAGAAAAAGAAAAGGAAGAAGAAAAGAACTTAAAGGAAAGTGAAGGGAAACAAAAAAAAAAAAGAAAAAAAAAAAAGAACGAGAATAAAGAATCTCGGATTACCATAATATAATATCGATTCGATTGAATGCGAATAAAATTTGAATGAGAAATTTTTCATTACAACGTTACAATATAGATAATAATCATTTCCGGTCTATTTAAAAAGGATCTATTTATATCCGTAAAGAGTACGTACAGGAAGGAAAGATAAAATTCAAAAGGGAAAATTTTCATTATGAAATTTCATTGTATAAAAATTATTTCCGCTCCTTTGAATTCCGCCATATTTCGTCTCACTCGGGAGAAAAAAACATACAATAGAGAGAAAGAGATAAAGAGAGAAAGAGGGAGAGAGGGAGAGAGAGAGAGAGAGGGAGAATGAAATAAATAAATAAATAAATAATAATAATAATAATAATAATAATAATAATAATCATTTATCAGCAATAACGTAAGAAATTTTTATTAGATAATATCGATGAAGTATTCGAAATGAATATGTTTCGTTCGATAATTCGATTCTAAATGATAATTATTTTCTAATTCTTTTGAAAGATCTATCATTCGAAATACACAAACTAAACACTTGCACAGTATTTATCACGTATACATGATAAACATTAATAGATAAAAATTACCAGAAGAATAGAAAAATTGTTCAATGTCGTTCCACGAATTAGATCTTACGAACGAAAGATATTACGTACGATAAAAGGATTACGACGTTGGATCTTTCTTAATCGATCGAAGTGCTAAGTGGAAAAGTTTTACTCATTTATCAAAGAATTACAGTTATTTCTGATTAATAGTTAAAAATGATTAATGAAGATCAGGATTTAACGATCCAATAGAAATGTCTATTATTTTATATCAAGATATTTTCATCGTAGAAAATGAGATAGGAATTGACAGATAGACAAATAAATAGATAGAGATAGAGATAGAGATATAGAATGAGAGAGAGAGAGAGAGAGAGAGAGAGAGAAAAAAAATGGAAACAATAGTGTATATAAAAAAATAAAAATAAAAGAATAAAAAAAAAGAATACGTTATCGTGTAATATCAAATGAAAACCTTGCAAAGTAAAAAGAAAAAAAAAAAAAAGAAATACAAAAAATATATATTCGCATCAATTGAAGATAATTTTACCTTTTGGATTTTCCCCAATGGAAACGAACTTAAAGCTGGCACAAGTTACTTGTTCTTTTTCAAAAATAATCTTTCATAAGCGTGTTGATATGTTGATGTCAATATTTAAACAAGAAAATTGTCATTATCGCGATAAACGAACAATCGATATCGTAAATGCCTCTGAATTATATCACCTTAGAGATCTGGAAGAGATCAGAGTGAAGAAAAAGAAAAAGAAGAAGAAGAAGAATAAAAAGAAGAAGAAGAAGAAGAAGAAGAATTAGAAGAGAAGTAGAAGAAGTAAAAGTAGAAAAGAAATGGAGGGATAAAAGTGTGAGGATCTAAGAGGTAGGGAAAGGTCGAGTATAGCGAGATAATATCGCAAGAACAGCAGCACATCATTTCTTTTACGTTCGTATTATTTATCATCCTCCGGCCAGATCCTCCGTATATGACCATTTTTATGAAAACGATCGAACATCAACCGAAATAAATAGGAACATCCTCGTGGAAATATTATTTTTCTTATCTCTTATCTCCTAACTACATTATTATATAATAGATCATTAAATTATTTTATACTTATATTTAGATATTGTCAAATCTTAAATATTTGATCGTTCGAATGTAAGATTAAAAAAGTCCTTTTAATATATCAAAATAATCCATTGCCCTATCTTGTTTTATTATTGATATTATTACTATTATTATTATTATTATTATTATTATTATTATTATTATTATTATTGTTATTATTATTATTATTATTATTATTATTATTATTATTATTATTATTATTATTATAACTATTCTTGTTGTCATCATAATTTTTTTTTTCCATTTACGACCTCTCTAACCTCGACTTAAATCACCTAGAAATATGATTCCACAGGAATCACATTTTCTGATTATAATGTCACATATCCGCGAATATTCGGAATGACTGTGAATTTATGATATACTTAATATACTTTTCAATTCCTACGGGAATCCTACGCGTTATCATATTACTTATCAATGTTGTACGTAATCTTTTCGAATTAATGACCTTTTCTTCAATGACGAAAGAATAAAATAGAGGTAAGGATGAAAAAAAAAAAAAAAAAAAAAAACAAAATAAAAAAAGGAGAAAAGAAAAAAGAATTTATTTTCGTAGTATTTTATTTATATTTATGAGTTGATTGAAGCATTTCGATCATAGAAGTCCAAGAGAAGTATATGAAGTAGAGAATTCGGGTTTACTAGATAACTAGATTCGCGCAAAAAAAGGATAGGTCTCTTATCCGTAAGTCGATCTGACGTGCCCTACATCCTAATCTCGGTCCATACAATCCTTCTCCCTCTCTCTCTCTCTCTCTATCTATCTATCTATCTATCTATCTCTATTTCTTTCTCTCTCTCTCTCTCTCTCTCTCTCTCTCTCTCTCTCTCTTTCGCACTCTTTCCCTCCTTTTTTTTTCTTTCTCTCCTACATGACGACGGAGGCCAGAATGAAAT